ATTCACTTCATCTCCCCCACCCAATAATTAAAAGGGTTTCTCTTCCAAAACACAACACCCAGCAGGCGATGGGGGTGCGGGGGAATTCTGGGGGGTGAAAGTCCACACATCTTAGAGTTGCTGAGGTTGAGAAGCACTGCTTTACAGGGAGCTATAAAATCAGAGGCATGCCACGTAACCCCAGATAGTCTTATTCCAGGCTTTTAGAAGTTTTAATGCAGTTATGCAAACTAAGAATCCCGTATGTATGGGTGTCTGCAGGAGGGGGAAGGGGACAAATGGGGGGGGGGGGGAAGGCAGAGGAAGTCATCACAAACACCATAACTTACACCCTTGCATCAGATGTCAGGATACAAACACATAAATGGTGGCAGTTGTGTGATGGTGTCACCAGGCACATGGTGTTATTTTGGCATCTCTACCGTTTGCTGTAGATAACGCTGTCCTACGCTCCGCCTGCGATCTCCTTGGTAGCTTGATGCAAACTCAAAACGAAGTTTCTGCTGGGTTAGGCCTTCAAAATTCTACCTGTTTTGCATTCAAAGCCGCCTGCTTGTATCACGTTGCTTCAATCAGTTCTGTTCTGAATTTGGAACGCTTCCACATGATCAGAACAGCCCGATTCACCCTCTAAGCCACTGTTTCAAACTCAAAACGGGGCAGCTCGAATCGGAAAGGGTTCAGATCTGAAAGATTTTGCACTCCCCTAGGAGCAAATTAACCTAGGGGAGAAGGTGCTAGATCTTCCCATCTCTTTCTGCAAATGTGCCAATCAGCCCCCAGGGTCTTTATGATTGCTCTGAGCTTTCTTCACACTGCAGATCTGGCCATGTATCTGACTGGTGTAAAGTGTGTCTTTACTTAGCTATTTCTTATACTCCTAGGATATTCTTATGGGACATAGACTATACAATGGTATATCCGTATACCGCATCACTGAGGTTGTGAAACGCAATCACTGACATCTGTAGTGTGGAACTGCTGAAACTTGCCCAGGTCCCATCCTTTACTTTCTCCAGCCCCAACGGCCCGCCTGTGGTTCACCAGCAACATACAAGCGCGGCTTTACCCCAGCTGACCCTTGTGGCACTCAGCCATATCTGATCGGCTTCTTCAGCGCTCCTGTTCCTCTGCTGCCCCTTCACCTGCCTGCCTGGAGCCCAAACGAGGCAGCAGCCAGAGGTGACTCTGTCCGAGTTTTCAGAGAAACAGCTAACTAGCATTTCAAGGACACTAATTCCCCACCAACCCTAACACTGAGACACACCCCAGAACATTGAACAGGGGGACAGTATAGCAAAAGCAGAATTTTTTCCCCCCATGTGAGCATTCTGCCCCCTGAATCCACTGGCTCAGGTTCCCGTGGTGTCTGATCTGCTCCTGCCTGGTGCCTAAATCTGGGGCAAAAAGGGTCCATTGCCGCCCCCCACACACACAGACTGTCCTTTGGCTGCCCCAGATTGTTTACAGAAGACTGCAGAGAAAATCATTCATGAGTAGGCTAAAACAGAGGATGGAGCCAGGGGGTGAGTGGGAGAGGATTTAAACATTTCTTCAAGCCTCCCCCTTGACTTGTCTCCTGCCACCTACCTACATGCACACACACACAACCCTGCACCCTCTCTCCACTGCACCCGGGCTGCCTGTCCCAGCCCCCACCCACCCCCAACACAGAATCATCAGGTCTCTCAAAGCCTAGATGGCTGTCTACTTTACAGGCGCCCAACCCACACAGTGAGGTTCAGGCAGGCCTGGGAGTGGTGCTCCATACCTGAACTCTGACGCTGCCTGGACACGTGGAAGAGAGGTCCAGGCCCAGCTGACAGGCTGTGGCAACACCAACCTGGCGCCCTGAAACTGGGCGAGTCCCTCCCAACGCCCCATGACTAGATTAAACCCACATACAGCTCCCAATTTTGAAGAGATGCCCCACACAGATTGATCCCTAGATATTTTCTCTCCTCCCTCCCTCTTCTTCTCCTTCTCTCCCTCCTCTCTTCTTTCAATGCCCAGCTCCACCCCCACAACTGCCTGAAACTTGCAATTAACAACTGCTGGATCAAATCTTGACCCAGTCACAGGATTCACCAGAATAGCCTGTGGCCATTTTTTAAGCCTCAGTTTTCCTTATCTGTAAAATGGGAATAATGAACTACCTCAACAAGGGTGCCACAAGAATAAAATGCATATTGAGGATAAATAATTGCAGAGAACATGGTATAGAAGGAATACTGCTGAAATTACTTAAAATATGTGGAATGATAGTGGAAAATAAAAATGATAAACATTCTGTCTCCATTCCTCCTTTGGCTTTAGTCCTGGCGCTTAAGTACAATGATTCTTCCTGAGTGACACTGAAATTACCTCCAAAACTGCTCCCCCAATCCCCCAAAACCTGTTAATGCCTCTCCATGACCAATGTCACCTAATGCATAAAGCTGAACATATGAGCCTTGTTTTCTAATTCTGGCTCCACCAGCTCTTGCAGGGATGAAAACTGTTTCAAAATACAAAGTACTTCAATGCTGGTTCACACAATATACTTAACCTGCATTATTCTTTTGCATGTATTATGTATGTACTGTACCCATCAGGTAACCAAAGCCTGGGTCCACATAATCCTCTCACCGACAAACCATGCAACCAAACTTAGCCGCTAGGTTTGTAACTAATATGGTTCAGTGCTCTTTGTGATCAAAGGCTAAAAGGAATATAATGAAATGGAGCTGGGATCAGCTAGTACTCAATATTCAGGCTGTGGCCCTAGGCAGACTTGAGTGAACATCACTAGGTTTTTTTGGACTTTACTTCCAAGCATACAAGCCCAGACTCAGCCAGCCCACTGCAGTCATAGCCCAAACAAAATGAAAACAATCCAACCCCCAAACGCAGAAGCCAGCACCAAGCGGGCGTCCCAGTGGTTGGAGTCATCAGGAACAAACCAAGCCCCAAGCGAACGTACGGGAACAGAACGCTCTCCAAAGCAAAATAAAATAATGCACGTGGCAGTGAGAAAGAAACAACCCTTGAACGCTGATATGGATGGTCAAGGTTAGCATCAGCTCGAGAAATCCTGGGGAGGGAGGAAGTACACGTGAAAGAATATGTCTCCCAGCGCGGCATTGCACTTGTTGGGGGAAGGGGGCTTAAAACAACAAGCCTCTTCTCTCCGTACACATCTACATACGGAACTGGTCTTCACGAGGGTCACACAGCTAGCAAGAAAGTAAATAAGGAGTAAAGGGGGGGGTGAGCCCATAGAATGGCTGAGGGGTCCAACTGGCATGCTGGTGCCCCTCCTTCAACCCTGATCTGGCTTACCAGCTGCCCATCTGCACATCATGGTCACCATGCCGAGATACCCACCGTCTCTATCCGTGTGTCCACCTCTCATCCTGCCTGCCAGCTAGAATCCAATGCCAGCTTGTGGAGAGCAGGATCTCCCCCTTCCTTTCCTCCCCCCCTTCTTTCTCTTTACAGGGCGCTGACCCTGGGAGGTGCCCTGATTGCCCCCACAATGTGCTAGCCACCACCACCACCTCCTCCTCCCTCCTTGCCCTCTGTGGTCCGATCGCTTGCTCGTGTGAAAAGTCTTAGAGATTGTTTCCTGGGGCGAAGCTCCACGGCGCCCGCGCCGGCACGTTTTACTCCCTCCTGCTGTGTCCCGTGGCTGAGCTGTGTGCAGCTTTGAGGGATTTACTGCTGCCAGCCAGCAGATGTAAGTGTGTGTATGTGTGTATGCACGCGCATGTACAAAAACACCCCTTGATGGATCACCCTGGAAAACCCTGATGAGTTGGCATCTCTCCAGCAGCAAAACCCCAGGAGTCCTACCTCCCAAACCTTCCTCTCCGGGACTTATAAAGACCCTTTCCTCTCCCCTCTTCCCTCCCAACTCAGAAATCCAGGACCTCACTGTTCATCCTCTCACCGCCCCCCCTCCACCCGCAAGGATACTATGCAGATACTCTCAATCATAATCAAGCTGGAATTTCTGTGTGTAGAGCTTTCTTTTTTTAATTGGAGATTTCTAGCTCCCATGACAACATCCATTGTTGATAAAACAACATCCTAGCCGAAATTATGGTATAATTATAGGGCAAAGCATGTAACGTATTTTTAGTCTCTCTTGGCGTGGTTCAGAAGCTGAAACCGAGCATGGTCAGTATCATAGCACCAAGGAGATATTTATGGGCTAGATACTGTTTGGCGAAGGGAGATCTGCACGCAAGGCAATGTATTCTGCACTCTTCATCCAAGGATACATTAAAAAAAAGATATGTATTATTAGTAACTTCAGTATTTGCTTAATAAGTAGAAGTGGTGAAGATAGCTTGTTTTTTTTCCTCCAAGTTTCCTTTTCTTATCTTGTTCGGTTCAGTCTTGTTCTAAACTGATTCCAAACTAAATGTTGGTGTTCAACCAAAAGTTTTACATAAATGTATTCCACATGCTTTCTAAATTTTCATTTTAAAAATAAAAATAAATCTGCATGCAAGAAGGGATGCATATGAGCGATTTCAAGGACTTGAAATACATTTTGTGATTGACTCAAGCCTAACAAAATATTTGAAATCCGTGAGATTGGACGAAGATGATGCAAAAATCCAATTAATGTTATGAAAAAAATAAGTTCTGTTGAAACATAACTTAAAAGGAAAGCAGTTCTGTTTTCCCAGAAGTGATGTGTATAATATTTCTGGCTCAGGAAGAAAGAACTGAAGTGTTGCTGCTTCGCCAGGACTTGGTACCAGCTTCCTCCATGCTGTTTTATTTGAACAGTGTTGACATTTTAACAAACCCCGTGGAAGCTGCTCTGAAGTGAAGGGTTCTGCTCATGTTCTTCAGAAGTTTTTAGAAATCCTTTTACAGTGCAGTGTCTGTTTGAATGCAAGACACCATGTTCCAGCACGTTGTATTTGATGACCAGTTGCATTCTTGGGTTTCACGACCTCTCAGTGCTCATTTTCAGTTTCTGGAGGAGAATCAACTATTTTCTGAAACTTTGCAGCTTCTGTATTTTGTGCAAACGTTAAGTTAAGCGACTCTTGCAGCACTGGGTAGCCCGTAGAAGCTGAATAAAGAATTCAGTGTCTCTTTGCTTTTTAAGCAAATAAATGTTGTTAACCATGGGTTCCTTTGCCCCTTAAAGCTCAGTGTAATGAATAAACGGAATAAGCTTTAAAATAATTTAAAACAGTTCTTATGTTGGAACTCGTGCCAAATATTTTTCTTAACCGAATGACAGAGAAATATGTAGAAATGCAAGAGAGATACAAACAAGTTATGTTTTCTGCTTTATCTCAAGATTTTTCATTTCCTCCCTTCCGTTAAATCCATCATTGTGCTTTTTAAGAAAAACCACATGAGCATTACCCCTGGTTACCTAAAGGAACTTCATCCTTGGCAGATAATGGGACGGGTAGTCCAAGATACGTGGAGGCGATCATAGATGAAAGGCAAAGCAGGCTAAATTATCTCCAGTGCATGCTAGGTGCAGTTTGGAGAGAAGAAGAATGTGCAGCTTGTTTAAGAATTGAGACCTAATTCATAGACTGTGACTTAGGGGAAGGAAGGCTTAGTTGCTTCAGCTTGTTCTCCTAGACGTTAATATCACAGGAAGTGTCCCATTTTGCCTTTCTCTTACAGCTTCGGGCTGTGACTTTTTTCAAGAGCTTCCAAATATCAAAGGTCAAACTACATCTTACTATAGAGTTATAAAGTATACTACATCTTCCCTCTCCTTCTCTGGAAAAGTGTATGAATTTTATTGCAAATCTTGTAGCCAGAAAGTTAAAACCTGCATGAAAGTTGGACGTGGGACAGTTAAAAAAAAAAAAAAAGAGTGAGAAGGTGATTTGGAGAGCAGAAGAGGCAGAGAAGAATCCCTTTATTTGGGCAGAAAAGGGACAACTGCTACTTCAGAACCTTCTGCTAAAACCTTTTATTATCCAATATTTGAGGATTATTCTCCTTTTTTAAGAAAAACAGACCTCAGCAGACTAGTTCTATTATTCTACAAGAATCTGAACTGGCCAAAATGTTCTCCAGATATCATTCAGAAACCTTTTCTAGGAAGGAGTAAAACATGAAAATGAGAAAATCAAGAGAAAGGTGTTATTTGGTGGTTACATGCAGTATTTGGATTTATTCAGTTCTTATTTCAGCTGAAGTGGCCTCTCCAGGAGAGTATCTCAACCAGAGAGAGGGAACAGTTCTCCTCTTCACTTCTGAATAGAGAAGATTTGTTTCTGACTTCCAAGGAAAAGCTGCTTTTCACGATCCCAACTTTTAGGAAACTTCTTCTTACTGGATAGATAGATGCTGTATAGTAAAACCTCCTGATTTGTGCTGATTAAGGTAAAGCGTAGTTTAGTTTTTTGGCAAGCATCCAAAACTTAATTAGCAAATCCATTCAAGGGGGCAGATTTTTGTGCAAGGCCAACGACTCCCTTTTATGGAACAATTTAAGTTGCTTTTCGGTGTGGAGCAAAAGGTGGCTGCTTGTGTTTCAAGCAGCCGGAGTCGCTCCCCAAGGTGCTGGTGCCTTTTGCTGCTGGTCCAGTCCCACCATCTTCCAGAGCTCTAGGAAACCAGGATGAATCGTGATCTCAGAGGACAGAGTGGTAGTTTGAGTTGCTCAGAACAGTAGCAGTTGGCTGGCCGTCTCCCTGCCAACCCGCTGGGAAGGCCCTTTTCTGCAAAGTGTGCGTGTGTCGTGTTCCACAATTGTTCTCCTTCCAGCTGGTGAGGCAGAAATACGTTCCCTTGAAGACAGTGGGGTTTACTTCCAAGAAGATGCGCCCGGGGCGTGTCTGGGTATAAAATCCCTGTGTTGGTGCGGCTTTCGTTCCCCGAAGCCCTTTTCTCTCCCACCTTTCCCCTTCCTCCTCCTCCAAAATAAAACTGTAAACGCTATAAGGCGGGGACACGCTGCTTTGGCTGATATTGCTGTGAAATTGACCACGCAGAGAAATTCTGCCTGCATTTGGAAAGCTTGTTTTTCTGTTTGTGCTACATAATATAGATGACAAATGTGGATGTGTTACAGACGGTTTTGCGTACATTAAAGTCTGGGGGGGAGATTAATCATTGGAATTGTTTTGGGGGGTGCACTTTTAGCCTACAGATTGTGGACTTCTGAGATGGCCAACCAGTCCCCGTGCTTGGAAAACAAGTATGTCAGGCTCTAACGTAGTTTTTCTCCTTTTCTCTGACATGTCAGTTTCAAGGAAATTGTTCCTACAAACTTCCCGCTTGCAGATGGCCGCTGGCGTAGCCTAGAAAGATTTACCACCTCATGCGTTTTTTCTGAGAGCTAAGTCCAAGTTCAGAGCCATCTAGCAGCTCCAGATTTGACAGTTGCAACTGATAAAAGAGTTTAGGGTGTGTTCATGTTTTATTGTAATGCACTTGGTAAACCGTGGAAATGGCCTGAGAGCGTAGACTTATGTGAATGAAGTTTGGCCACATAAATAGCATTTTTTCGGGTCAGATCGAACAGGGCCCTTCATTCTTCAGAGGAGCAGTTTTACTCCCTGCCTCCGGTTTCTATGAATACCCTTCCATCCCTTCAACAAACATAGTTATGAATTTTATAGGTATGTTTAAAAATATCCCACTTAGGCTGCTAAATTAAATACCCATATATTTAGCTATCTGTGACAGTATGTTCCAAACTGACTGTGTAAAGCCGTGCAATTAAATCTATATTAGGCAGTTACATAAATCTGTGGTCAAAATTTCCAAGGTGTTAAGTATCCTTCATGCCAGCTGAAGCCACAGATAATTTCAGGTGCTGATCACCTTGCAGCAGCAGGTGAGCTGTGCTGGAGCAACGGGCCAGCCGCCTGATACGGTCGGGGCCTGATTTTTGCAAATAAGCCTATGCCAGATGAATTAGTCGTTCATAAACATTATGATAATGTTTTCCAGAAAAGCTGGTTTTTAATGTAGCAAGTCACTGGATGTCATACATGGGGACAGAATAATAATGGTAGTAAAAAAAGATTGTCTAAGCCTTAAAGGGGTAAGAAGGGTTGGGGGCTGCGATTGCAAAGGGCCCCCGGAGATCCCTGGCTTGACTCTCTGGAAACAGCCTGTGTGATTCAGGGCAGAAGGAGCTGCCTTTCCTGCTGCGTGGTGTTGGGCTTTTGGGGAGGGCTGGGGGTGGGGGCTCCTTGCTGGTTTCGTCCAGATACTGGAACAGGTCGAGGCTGCGTGCAGGTCCGGAAGATGGGGTGGGGGGGGGTGGGATGGGTGACTCCTTTGTCTTCACGTTGCCTTCTGCAGCTCCTGTTCCCTGTTCCTTCCGTGGCTCCTTTCCTTCCTAAACCAGATTCAAGGCGGGGTGCAGCTGGCAGGAGACAAGGCGGCAGACGCCGAGGTCCCAATTGGTTGAGAGTAAATCCCATGAGAACCAGTGAGACACATTGGGGTTGTAACTGGTTGAAGCCCTGTTGCTTTTTATGGGACGTAACGTTTCCTCTGTTTTAACTTGTTCCTCTACTTCTAATGGGACATAGTCACGACAGGTTTTAGCCAGGTTGTGACCTGTTGTGTTTACATTCTCTCCTTTGCCAGATGTCTTTTCCTCTTAATATTGCTTGGAATTCTCTGTGTGTTCATTCTTTGGACCCTGCCTCCCTAGATCTTTCGATCTTTGTTAGATTTTCCAAGTAAAACACAGTTTAGTTGCCATGATGTTTGTAGCACTGAAGAAAATTTGGGGCAGAAAGGATAGAATATCCTTTGCGTCTCTATATGACACGAAACGTGGAGAGTAAGCTTTGTTTGGTTCGGCTTTGAGCACCTTCAAAGTGCCTCAACTACACGTGGCTGCTACTACACGTATCGTACCAAAGGAAAGGCAGGAAGCCTGCATTTGCTGGGAAACT